CCTGTAATCTATGTTCATATCATACCATCATAGTATTTTCGAGGGATGTATCCATTCACACACATTTGACCACATTGAATCATTTAGTTTCGTTTAAAATTGTCTGAGGTTCCATGTGCTCTTCCTTTTGTCCTAGAAATTAAGTGTAAGACACATAAAATGCAAGAATATGCTTATAGAATTTTCATACTATAATTTTCATAAACTAAGAACATATAATTGGAAATATGGACATATATGTACATATTTAAAAGAACCATAGTAGTGATTTACACAAAATTTTACTGGCCCACATGCAATTCAATGAGATTCCTTCTGACTTTAGTGTTTTTTGCCTTTTTATGGCAATTTCAAAGCATTTTTTGTCATATCTCGAGAGTTCTCAAAAGGCTGTCCTGTATAACTAACAAGCAATTACCACTATATGATTTCAATTATTAGAGAAAAATTATGCATCACACGAGAATCGGGCCATCGATCCCTGAACTCTCCGTATTAAGCTTAGCGGACGGACCTTTTTCTTTTAAAACTACAGGCGCAACAACAATTCTATCGTGGTACACATTTTTACAAAGTCATTTCAAAAGTTTAAAGGACGAATATAATCCATGTAAAGTAAAAGTCACCACATATCATTTTCATTGAATAGACTCAGAGAAAATCATATTTTAAAGAAAGACACAGGCAAATTTTTAAATTAAAACAATTCGGTGATTCTGTCGGCGGCTAAATTTCGTTCGACATAATATATTTATGCTTCAAACTCAAAATATATAGTATTTATACCGAACTTGGTTTAAACATATTTTATTTAAAATATTTGTACATGTGTAGATATCAACATAAGATTAATTATAGATTTTAGCCAAAAGCAGAAGTTTATAGAAGCTATTATCTAAAAATACCGAACTTTATGCTTGTACTTCATTAAAATGACTACAAATGACTACAAATGTCATTTTAGCGTGATTTGAGTACAAAAGATAATTTTGATATTTTTGTCATTAATTTGCTTGAGTATCCCTTTAATGCTCAAATGTGTAAATTTTATTGATCATCCTGATGATGATTGGAATTCCTACCAAGTCACTTCAAAAACTTTTAAGGACGAAAAATTCTATTAACGCTCACCTGATATTAGAATTTATGGACTCTTTGCTGTCGAAATTTCACAGAATCCGTCTGCATTTGTGGAAATGAAAGTAACATACATGTAAATGTTTAATACAGACAATGAATATATTCAAGTATTAGATAAAACGTTTGCTTTTGCAAATTCGAAAACAATATAACTTTCATCAAACTTAGATGTAGACTAAGTGAAAACTCTTTCTTTATGTAACGTCATTTTTTAAAAGACCTATAAAAGGAAATCTAAGGAAATGATTACTTACTGGTATTGAGGCGTATTAAACTGAAGAGGTTGATAAGCATAACCATGATATGAATTTAAGGAAATTTCTATTTACTGCTCCTTTGCAAAAGCAAACGTTTTATCTAATACTTATTAAATTTTAATCCATGTTGGGATTCGAACTCACAGCGTGGAGAGGCAAGTCGTTTGAAGTTCTGATTTACTTTATCTAAGGTTTAAACAACATATTTTACGAGTATTGGTTATAAATTTTTATGATTCCTATAAAGTTTCGTTGAATTCCAGGCAATAGTTGCAGAGAAGTAGCACGGAAACGATTATTGTTCCTTATGCATACTGCATAACTTATCAAGGGCTATAACTCTGATTTAAAGTATCTGACCGAAACAAGGCGATGATATCCGCTCTCCTCTTGGTAAACGAAGGTTCCAATAAAGTTTCGTTGAATTCCAGCCAGTAGTTGCAGAGAGGTAGCGCGGAAACGATTATTGTTCTTTATGCAAAGTGTCTGACCAATATAAGGCCATGATATGCACATCTCCTTTTGGTATTGAAAGTTCCCATAAAGTTTCGTTGAATTGCAGAGAAGTAGCGCGGAAACGATTATTGCTCTATATGCATATTGCATAACTAATCAATGGCCATAACTCTGAGTTAAATGGTCTGAGAACTAGTGCGGAAACGAAATTCGGACGGACGGACGGATGGACGTACGGATGGAAGGACGGACGGACAACGCCAGAACAATATACCCCTCCCGATTCCATCGGCGGAGGATAATAACAGAGTTAGTATCTCCCCCGCATAGTGGAAGTTTTACATACCCCCCACAAACACACAAAAACAGTATTTCAGAAGTTTTCAGGTATGCCATGACTTTCAGTGCAAATTCTTAATAAATGCTATATCTAAATATACAACAATAAAATTATAATCGAAATTTAATGAAACAACTTTATACATGTTAACATAGGACAGTTAACATCAATGAAAATAAATGCAAACAAGGAGACAATATAAAATTTAGAGCCTACTTGAGATGAACTAATGTTATTTTTCAGTGCACCCCTCTTTCTAATCGATACATATTTAAAGCTTAAAGTAAATATCTCTTTGGAGTTATTCCCTGGTCACGGAAAATAAGGTCATGTTAAGCTTTGACATTAAAATGTTGTGTAGAGGGCTTAACGTCGATCCTTTGATAAATTGAAAAATTATGGACCGGACACGAAATATAACCTCAGTCAAACAATGTTAACCTTTGTGTTAAATGTGTGGCTTTGATCTTGAATTAAGGAGTCTGTGTGTTGTGTATGACACATCGGCTTATTATGGTGATCATTTGCGCTAATTTTTTAAAAATCTCTTGATAGATGAAATGTTATGCTGACGGATACGAAGCATATCCTCAATCAATCAATATTGACCTTTAATCTCAAAGTGTGATCTTAACATTGCAGATGTGTTCTGGTTGTTTGGCATGACACATCGCCTTATTATTTTGAACTTTGTGGTAAATTAGTTCAAATCCCTTGATGGAAAAAGAACTTTTGAAACCGGACACACATCAGACACACAGTGTGACTTTAACCTTGGAGGAAGAAGTTGTTTTGCATGCCACAGTGTCTTATTATGATTAATATCTATGCAAAGATGTTTTTAAATCTCTTCATGAATGGCTTGGCTATGATCCAGACGCGGGCATGCTGACTGACAGAGGAACAGACAGACATGATTTTCTTGAAAAGGCGGGTAACAATAAAAGAACGGACATAAAATTTTACATATTTATATATCTAAATGCCTTTATATTATGGCATCTCATAATGACCAAGTAAGCTTTAAATGATTGTGTTTAAAGATATTTACGTAAAAGATAAAATATTTACTTTTGCAAACTTAAATATCGTGAAAACTATTTCTTAATGTAACGGAGGAAATTTAAGTAAATACTTACTTGTATTTGACGTGCCTTTTTTTCTCGTTGAGGAGGTTGATAACAATTATCTAAATTTGGATTTCCAGACCTAACCTTAACGAAAAAACCAAATAATGATTATTACAATTATAATAAATCAAACATATTGAAACACACATACTATTTATCTATAAAAATGCATTTGTTCTAAATTCTTATACAACTTTATTTTGATTTGGTTTTACATCTACAAAAGAACTATGAGTCATATTGCGGCTTTTCAGCATTACTGGTGGATGAAGACCTTAATTGATTACGAATACATAACAAGACTGTCTGCTGGACAGCCGAATTCCCTTCCGAAGCAGACATAAATGTGTACTTCTTGATCTTTAGCGAACCATGACCTTGTTGTTATGAAATGCATTTCATAAGCACAGTTGTTCATCACAAATGTCTGTTTCAGTTATTGGCCAATTATCTTCTTGATCTAGAAGGAAGATACCTTTGTAGAGCCTGTTATTCATATATTGACAAGTTTCTTGCATATTTTGATGTATCATGCTTTAGGCAAAATTGCTGTTCCATGGGCTTTGGTGATATGTTCTGTTTTAGCTGAAATATTTGATTGTGATAATAGTGTATGATTTGTTATAGTTTTAATGTTTTACAAATCATTCAGGTGAGGATTACAAGACTGCAGGTTATGTTATAACCTTGACTTTGCTAGGAGGCGTGAGGGATGTTGCACATTTTCATTATCCCTCATGAACAGACTCAATCAAACCGAGTCTGCAATTCTCTTGTAATTTTGTTGTAATTAATGCTTCCGAGGGATCACTTTGTTTCCAGATATTTGGGGTAGCCACTTGGTTGTTGCCTTCTGTTGGTGATGATGGTGATCTTTTGTTCCAATATAATAAAAAATCAGCAGTTTAAAAGTTATGAAGAGGACAATTTTATTTCTGTTTTAACATTTGACCTGTATGTGTGACCTAGACCTTGGGTAGCGACCTGAATATTGCGCTCCACACATCATGTCATTATGGTGACAATTTAAGCAAAATCATTTTGTTAACTTTTCAGTAGCTTAAAGTTATGGAGAGAACATGAAGATATGAACTTTATAATTTTGACCTTTAAGTGTCACCTTAATCTTGGGGGTAGCAACCTCAATGTACCTTAGGGGTAGCAACCTAAATGTTGCGCTCTGCAGATTGTATCATTGTGGGGATCTTTGTGCCTCGTAATTCTTAAACATTTGAATTGCCAATAAGTTAAAGAGCGGACATAGAAAATGGATATTTTTTCATTGAAACTTTGAGCGTGACCTTGGCCTTGAGGGTAGTGACTTCATTGTTGTGCTCTGCACATCGTCTCACAAAGGATAACAATTATGGCGGACGGACGTACCGAGGGACTGACAGACGAAGGTTATTCCTAAAAACCCCTTCCCGCTGTGCGGAAGGGGATTATAAAACAGTCATTTTTACAGGCTTACAAGAGACGCTGTTATTTTTTTCTGATACAAACAAGCCTGAAACAACATCCGTGTTTATCAGGAACTTTATATTAAGCGAATAATCAAATAATATTTTATATAAGAACATATTGCGATAATTAATGCTTCCGATGGATCACTTTTTTCAATATTGAATTTACAGTTCGATGTTTACACAGTATTTTGTACTTGAATTGGATGTCATATTATGACCTTGTGTCTGACTTCACACCTGGAAATGCCGACAAGGATCTTATGAACAACGTAACATTATTCTAAAAATGATTAACATCATTTTAATCATTCCAAAACATTTTAAAGACAAAATAAACTTGCCATACTTTATTTACAATTGATAATCTTCATCATGTTTAAATATAAAACGTCAAGAATCCAGTTACTTCTGTTTAAAGTGCATCCCAATCGCTCTCATCGATCTACATTTAAAGTTTCATTGAAACCTCTAATTTAAAAACGCTATTGGAGTTTTTCTCTGGACAAGGAAAATCAGGCCGTGTTTAGCGTTGACCTGTAAGTTTGATCTTAACCTTGATAGTAAAGGTCTAAGAATTGCACATAACAAATTATCTTATTATGATGCAAACATATTTCAAAAGTTGTGGAACGGACACAGAAAATCCACATTACATGTCATATTGCTTTGACCTTTATGTGTGAATTTGCCCTTGTTAATAGAGTTTTGATGTTGCACCTTACACATCTTTTTTATTATACATGTAGTGAACATATATGAACGGTCATTTTAAAAACCCTTGATGGATGTAAACAAATTTACAAATGTACCGGAAGTAATCCATTGAACGACTCTCGGCAATTACATTACAATGTACAAAATTTAATATTCGCCCCATTCGTAAATGGATCATATGATTCCTTGGCAGGATTAATTATGATATGTAAACAATAAACGTTTCTCTAATGGTAATGATATGCGCCTAACTCCCTTTTTTATAAGCTCATAAAAGCAAATCAACATTCTTTTCAATAAAAGCAACCAATTCAATTTTATATTTTGCAATTACAGGTAAATTGACGGTTCAAAGTATTACACCCTCAGATCGGAGTTTCAAAAGATCTACACATTGTATAACCTTGGACCCAGTAAGAGAAACACTTAAAATGTATATAAAGCTTACCATGAATATAAAATCTAAACTGTTAATGATATCGTTTAGAAACTTTATACATACACAGAGACTTGTAAGAGGGAGAGGGAACTGTAAAACTACGAGTACAATAGTCTTTGAATTGTGGCGTGGTAAAATATTTTACGCTTACAATTGAATATTTAGTAGGTCACTAGGGTCAAAGTTACTGTTGCTTGAAATAGAATTTTACAATCCTATTCCCGCTGTCTTCATTTTTTGACTGATGAACATGTACTTTTAAATTGACACATGTGCAGATTGAGGGACCATCCGTCGCTTTAAGTGATATTTATTGTAAACAATGCTTGTTTATAGTAAAACGTTGAGAACGAGGATGTTCCAGGTTTTAGGATAATTATTGAAAAAATTAAAAATAATGGTCTTCTACTATTTAAAGACATTACCTCGTGAAATGAATTATTATCGAATGTTATTTCTTCTGTGTATATTTCACTTGCAATACATTCCTTCATCATCTTTTCGTCCTGAGGAATCGCAATTTGATCTAACCCTTCTAGATATTCTTCAATTGTACCATCAATAACTGGTTTATATTTTTCCTGTTCGATTGAAAAATCAATGCTTGATAATTCATTTGAAATTTCTTCGATAAGTTCCTCACCTCTTTGAAGGCTTATAGAAACAAGGGCTTCTTTGCCAATTGTAGATGATTTTAGCTGTTGTTTAAGGTTTTTCAGTCTATTTTTGAAACAAACCAATTTCTCATAAATGTTTTCAGAATTTTTTGTGTTTTGATCGAACTTCTCATTCGTAACTTCAACTGCTTTATCCATGTGCGAATCAAACATTTCCTTTATTCTACTGCGAAATGATTCCAGTTCTACAATATATTCCGTCCTTGAGGCTTGGTTAGTTTCGGCCTTTTGTTTTACTTTATCATAATTTAATTCGATTATTCGAAGTTGCTCTTCGGTCTGTTTCATCATGTTTGCTTTATCGTCGTCTAAACATTGTTTCATTGCTTCTTCTTGTATATAGTCCATGTTGGTGCATGACCTAAAATGGTAACATTGTGTATCTAAGCATACATGCGAATCGCTCAAATCTAAGGCATGTTGAGTACATTGTACTTAAGCTAACACAAATTGCTATCATACCGTTGTAGGTGAAATAAAAGAAGTTAAGTTACATACATTATAGAATTATTAGAATCTAGATAAGACATTGCACGCACATAAAAAGTACGAATGAATCAGTATTGCTTATAAATGCTCCTAATGTTGGCAGGGAGGGTGAGAGAGGGGAAAGAGCACCCGAGGATCTGGACGAATTGAGTTTGGCAGATATTGATGGCAGAAGACAATTGTCTTCTGAATATATAGGAGCTTAGTAACTTTAATTGCAAGGCAGAGCATAATCTGGTTTACAGGATGAAGCGTTAGACCATGTACATATTTAGACCCTCAATTCATCTTGTAGGTAAGTTTAAATAAAAACGTAACTTTCATTCATTTTTAATGCAAATACACATGTGAGAGTAAAGAATGCATAAAGAGAAATATATCTAGTACATAATTGTTATGATTCTGGTTTTAATTAAAACATATATTCTCTCAAAATAACATCTCTTCCAATTATATTCATTTAAATGTAAATACACATATGTAAAAACATATCTTTGGAATAAATAATTGTGTTACAATGGCATCTATATTTACATTTATATCTCACAAATTTGAGTAAACAACCAGAAATTGTTAGTTTAACACAATGAATTTAAAGACATAACTAGATTTTCTAAATTCGAATTACTTGACAGAGAAAAAATTCTGTCAATGTCAATAGGTTAGCCTGATATTTGCTTAAAATTGAATGTCTCAATAAACTAAATAGCAGTGAATATCAAGTTACCTGTGTTTTAGTGATATGCAAACATGACAACATAACATCTTATGATCTCTGCAGAAGAATTCAATGTTTTTGCCATGTGTAGAACATTTATATTGATCTCTTGACCAGACGGCAATATCTTCATGTTTCAAGACAATATCCTTGGCAAGGTAAGGTACTGGCGGATGAAGCTCAAAACATTCCTCGCAATAGTAAGCCTCACAATCCGTACAGTAATATTCGGCTTTGGTATTCTTATCTTTGGTTTTGCACGGAGTACAGTGTTTCGTGTCTTCCATGTCTGACGTTTTGCAGTCTGAATGAGCCATATCTAAAGAAACAAGGTAGAAATGGTGTAAGGATGTTAGGATATGATGAACCCAAAATTTGTCAAAATCTATAAAATACATTAATTGTATTATCAATCATTGTTTTATAGGAAAACACTAAATAAATGTGAATAACGAATAATATAGCCACATCCATCTGATTGATTTATTACAAAACTGACATTTAACTGCAAGAAGTGTTGATTTTGCTTTTACTTGATATTTTATTGCTTTTTTTACGCATTTGAAGAAGAGCTTACTAACGGCAAGACGAAAATTTGTTTCCGAGCTTCAACAAAATCGTCAACGCAAATGAGGATTAGCATCGTTGTTTAAGATCATGATACAAGCTAAAAATTGTTGCATTGCTGTTCACAAAATTTCAAAGCTATATTTCAAATAACAAAAAGTCACTGTGTACCCTGCAGTAGAGCCATAAGAAAATGTTTCATGTCAAATATCTATTCTCTAGCATTCTCTGTTTCTGAAAAAAATGCTTAGTTTTCAAAAGATTTTTTTTTTAATTTTACTATGTTTTATGTATATTACAAAAATCTATGACCCCCGGGGCCTGAGTCAATATTGTTTAAGACTAAAGTTTGTACAGACGTTTTAGAGGTCAGAACTCAATGTTTCTCGCCAAATATTTAATCCCTAGCTTTTTTATTTTTAGAGGGGAAGGTTTTTTTTTTTATTTTTTACTATATATACATATAAATGAGCAAAACCTATGACCCCGAGGCGGGCTAATTTTAAAGGGACTGCACTGAGGTTTTTTGACATGATGGGACTGAAAATATTTTTTCCTGATAAATGTACTATTTGATGTAGGTTTATACCACTAATCTATGTGCAAAATTTCAGATCATTTACGTACTTCGTTTTTTTCAGAATAATTATTCAAATTGTAAAAAAATGACCCAAAATGAAAAGCGTTTAAACGCTTTTCACTCAAATCGGACTAAGAAAAGCATAAAAATACGATTTTCAATTTATTTCAAAGTATATTTCTTAACTATCTTTGGGTATTTTTCTGTTGAAAGTGCACCTGCTCATCTGTGTAAGAAATTCAAATGTCATGTTTTAGGCTTTTAAACCTCAGTGGAGTCCCTTTAATACTAGACGCATAATTTGAACAACTTTACTAGAGGTCTACTAGATAGTGTTTCAAAAATATCTTAACTGTAGCCTTTGCCATTTCAAAGAAAAAAAGAACAAAGAAGACAATGTTTCATGTCATTTATCTAAGCCTTTGTCATTCCAGATGAGAGTTCTTAACTGTTTACTGCGTACATGAAAGGAAAACCAATGACCCCCCCCCCCCCTTAAGATGGGACCAATTTTGTCACTAGAGATCAACTTTGGTAAAGGACCTAAATTTATATCATATACCAAATATATAAAGTTTGGGCCTAGTACTTTCAGACAAGAGGACTTTTTTAATTTGCATTTTTACTTCTTTTCTGGCCCTTTGACCTACTTATGCGACAGACAGGAACCACTTTAACAAATTTAAAAGCACAAGGATCATTCCTGTAAAGTTTGGTTAATGTGCAGTCATTGATATTTGCAACAAAACAATCAAACCCAATCTTTTATACGGTTCTGAAATATTTCATTTAGGAAACCTTGACATTATTGCACATGTACATTCAAGTTGAAATTAAAAAAGATTGAATTTGTGAAAAAATGCTATGTCACCGCATTATTCAGCATTGAACAAAAGCAGTTCAGACAATGAAATGTTGTGATAATGCAGTCGAATTTAAGGAATCTAGAGATAGGTCCCTAGGTATAAAATATAAGTCAACTATTATCGAAACAGTAGGTCATAAGGTCAAGATATTTATCAACTGATATCAGAATTCAATTTTATATCTGAAATCATGCTTATGGTTCAAATTTTCAGCTGTATGTCAAATGGCAAACAAATTTTACTTTAAGCAAATAAGGAAAATCCATCGAGGGTCCGCAACCCAACACCAGGGTAAGGTACATTATGAACCCAATGACATAATTTGATCAAACTTTGTAGCCGTCCACTAGGCAATGTTTTATGCCAAATATCTAAGCTCTTGTCTTTCCTTGTTCAGTACAAGATCTTAAAAAGTATTTTATATGTATATATGGAAAACCCTCGACCCCCGGGATGAAGCCAATTTCAAACCCATTCGACTAAAATATTTTAAAAAATTTGTAGAGGTCTACTTGGCAATGTTTCATGCTAACTATAGCTCTAGTCTACATGGTTTTAAGCGATCACATATTTTAATTATTTTCAATATGTGTATCAGGAGAACCAATGCCCCACCCCATGCACTGAGGCTATGATGGGATGTTATTATATGGATTAACGTGGTAATTGTCCATTTGACAATGTTTCAGGCCAGGGCCAAACTCAGGACTGCAGTTTAAACTAATGACACTGTATATTCATATTGTGACCAGCTATAGTGTATAGGTTTAAACATAACAAATCCACGTTGTGTAAAACCAAAACATGCTAATTCCATATTTACAAAAAGCCTGTGAGGTAATTATGAATATTTTGTATCATCAAATTTGAGCATTTATATTTTAAGCAAATCTTTAAACAGAAAATTAAAAAAGAAGTTAATGAAGCACGCACGCACGGTGCCATAATAAATCACAAGTAGAAACATATGTTAATGTTATTTAATGGCCAAATGATGAACAAACATCAATTAAATAATAATTTTACCAAATGTTTAAAATTTTGATCGAGTTGTAAAAGAAAAAAAATGCTTTAACTGTTTGTTTTGTGTGGAAAATTTTAATCAAATTTCATGTAAAGTGGCTATAAATAAGTGATTATTACAATGGGACAAAATAATTATTATTACATCCTGAACAAGACAGAGTTACCAACGTCCCTCGCCTAAGGGAAGTTTTACATGAAGTACAAAGTTGTACTATATCAAATGATTGAGGTATGGATTTGAACTTTCAGTGTCAAATCTTGATCAATGCTAGATCTGCACATGCAACAATAAATTTATTAAAAAATAGAATGAAATAACTCATGTGTGTGTCAACAGAAATACATTTTATATAGCTGTTATTTCAAAACCACAAAATGTGACAAATACAAAATAAATACAGGGTATGGTCCGTTACAGGGTATATTTCGTGTTATGGTATGTTGGCGATTCACCAATGTCATTTTATTTGCTTGGGTCTAACTTAGAATCAGACCATGTTAGGCTTTGACCTCCAAGTGTGACCTTGATCTTTGAGGTAGGGGTCCGGTGCTGCGCATAACATGTCTTATTGAGATAAATAGATAAATTTTGTTATATCAGACACTTGTTTGGTATTATCTTTTCAATTTGAATACGCGTTGCTTTTTTTCTCTCTTTTTTATTTAATTTTGAAATGAAAAAAAAACTGTCAAGAACCTCTCGATTGATGCCGCGCGCAGTAATATGCCAAGGGTCATATCTACAAGAAATAGTCCCAAATGTTTTAGGAATCACTTATTTATTTTCACATAAAAATTCGATTTCATTGGTCATTTTAAAATAACAAACTGGAGTCAGTCAATCTCATTGGTCATTCCAAAATAAATGTAAAGGATAGTTCTAGCCATTCTAAAATAAAATATGAAGGACAGTTTTTACATTTCTAAAATAAAGCTTTAAAGATAGCTCTAAAATAAAATGTAAAGAATAGCTTTTGCAACGATAAAATAATATGTAAAAGAGAATTCTTTGTTAATAATACAAAATTTATAAAGTCAAAAGTAAAACACGTAACAGGGAGCCATGCTAAGACAGAAGTTATCCTACTTTGAAAAATCATCAATATCAATATGCTATGATCTAATTTCAATGTTTACAAAATGTGTATTATCTTAGCTACAAGAACATTGTTATGCAAGTATTGCTCACATTTCTTTGTGTATTGAAAACTTAGAAATAACCACGGATTTACATAAATCCGTGGAAATAACATACCGGTAATTTGGCATGTTAACCAGTTTTACTTCGGCCGAGTATCTTTTATAAAAAATACCTCTTGTTTTAAATATCCACAAAAACAAAATTAAAATAAAAAATAACACACTTACAACTTCACGTTCTGATAATATAACAAGATACCAAAACTAAAGCAAGCTATATTTAGTTTATCCAAAATCACCAAGTCTAAGTTCTGTGATACTTTATGAAACCAATGTTAAGACATATACCAGTAAGACACATATAATTCATGTTTTCGTGTTTGTCTTACCAGAATTTTTTAGCCTTCTCTGTTAACAAATCCAGTAGCACAATCGGAATCCCTCGGCTGTTATACTCATTATGGCCACGTATAATGTTATCTTTGGTAATGTATAACAAATGTATTTATTCGACATCAAAAGAAAAATAAAGTTTGTTTCGTTACAATCGCATCTTTTTAGATAAGAAGATAACTAGCCGATGACGTTAAGGTTAATTCAGGTACCATTTTTTTCTATGGGATACAATCGAGTATTTTCTTTAATTATTTTCTTTATTTATTTTTCTTCTTTTTTTCAGAAAAAAAAGGATGAGATTGATATCGATGCCGGCTTAGTATATACATATGAATAAAGAGATACGTACAATACGTTTGAATTCATGTACTTAATACTTAAAGGCCCATTATGCCTCAGAAATGCTTTTATTTTTATAATGTATTTCTCAAGAACTTTTTTTAAATCTGGTGTACTTTTGTAGTATCCAATAAATTACCTGAACCATCTTTTTCATCTGTTACTTTTCGGCAATAAGTACAGTTATAGTGAATTAGTATTGTAAGTACTACTTTAATTGTTTACAGATTTCTACTTTTATGACAAATTATTTCACATACATCGCTACTTTCTCTAGGTAGAAAACAACGTTCTTTAAAATGCATTATTTAAACATTATAAAATTGATGTTTATTCTTAATTTTTAAAAAAATATTGATTGTTGAGGCATAATGTGTTAATAAATGAAATGAATGTATTGAAGGGTACTCCCGCATTATACCAGATATTATTATATCAAGGGGCGTGCCTGGACACATTTTGAGGTTAGAGGTATCCTAGAATATGCCCCCACATTCTTCGAGCACCAAGAAAGCCGCATGTGCTTTTTTTGGGGGGGGGGGGGAGAATCTAGCACCCAGTCAGTCAACGATTATAGTTTAAAATGAATAAATACCTTTCAATTTCCTTTCAGTATAATACTGTTTTTAAATAATTACGGCTAAATGAATGTTTTAAACTTAAATAGGCCCATATATCATTTTTTTAACGTTTTAAATTGACACTGGTCATTTTCAAACGTTGAGATCATATACTAACCAATATCAAAGTTTTGATAAATTAATATACATGTAATTATTCAGGTTCAACAAGCTTCTTTAAAAAATAATAACCTTAAACCAGAAATGCATCGCTGTGAATGTAGAATTACATCGATGTACTGATGAAGAAAATGATGTAGACTTACAAATATATATGTTTCCATTTTTATTTACAAATATTGAAGAGACCAAATATGAGATAGTGCTGCAAATATGCAAACAAAGAGGGACTTCATAATGAGTGAGACAAAACAAGAAGTATCTTTAAAAGATACTCGGCCGAAGTAAAGTGCATATATTATTTCTAACTTTTCGCTTAAAATAGAAGTTTAAGCACTGTTTGCATAACAATGACATAATAGCTAAGAAAAAATAGTTTGTAAATATTGAAATTAAATTATAACATACTGATACTTATACATACATGTATAGTTTGTTTGTTTTGGGTTTTACGTCACATCGCCACAGTATAGGTCATATCGCGACGTTCCAGCTTTACTGGTGGAGGAAGACCTCAGGTGCCCTTCCGTGCATTACGAACGGGCACCTGAGTAGAACCACCAACGTTCCGTAAGCTAGCTGGATAGCTTCCTCACATGAAAAAATCCAAAGTCCCTGTCGGGACAAGTTCTGTTTTACAGTATTGATTTAGGTGTTCCTTTTACTTGCTTTATTAATTTTGTTATCATATGCAATATTGACAATATTATTAAAAGATATACATGGCATAACCTAAAAGTTAAAGAACTATCCTCATTCCTGTACATCTTAATTTAGAACTACAATTCCCTTACAATTTATTTTAAAGCTATCCTTAAGCATTAAAATTTTATTTTAGAATGGTAAGAACTATCCTTTACATCTTTTTAGAATGACCAATGAGATTTACGAATTTCAGTTCGTAATTTTAAAATGATCAATAATTATGAATTTTTTTCTTATAATTATTCAGTCCTCCCCTGTTTCTGTAAGCGTCTTCAGGTTTTGCTCCAACACTGTATTGACCTAAGCCTCTTAAAAATGGCTTAGCCTTCCATCGGAGCACATATTCATCCTACAGGTATTCTACATGTAAAAAGGGCTACATTGTCGCAAAATACACCCGTCACAAAAGCGTTTGACAGAGATGTGGGCATTATAGATATGCATATAGGAGATATGCTCTGGGCAATATCCGGAAAATATCTGGATATTTTATCATCTCTAGTGACCTTGACCTTGCAAATATTAACCTAAATTACATGTGTCACACTTGTAGTCATGATAGTTATCATTTGTGTTACAATCCATCAATAAATGATGACTAAATGGTCCCCGTACACAAACTTTGACTTCTCTATGTGACCTTGACTTTGGTAGCAGGGACCTTGATTATGTGCGCAATAAGACTGACAATGGTGAACATTAATTTTGTGGCAGTTATATTAAAATCCACCGATGAATGTAGAAGTTTGGCTCCGAACAAGCATTTTTCAATGACCTCTCAGTGTGACTTTTACCTAGAGACCTGGTTCATGCACGTGACACTGCGGTGAACATTTCTATGAAGTTTCATTAGAATTCCTCCATGCGTGGAGGAGATATGCTCTGGACATAATTTCTATATTTTATCATCTTTAGTGACCTTGACCTTGCATATATTAACCTAAATTACATGTTTCACACCAAAAGTTATGATAATGACTGTGTTTCTATCCCTCAATAAATGATGACTAAATGGTCCGAATACACATTTTCATATTTTTTATCTGAACTTTGACCCCTATGTGTGACATCGACCTTGGCCGCAGTGACCTGAATTTTGCACAAGACATTCCAGTAATATTTAAATCACTCTATGCATGTAAAAATTTTGCTCTGAACAAGAGTTTTTCAATGACATTCTAATTGTGACCTTGACCTTTGACATTGCATGACCTGGTTTATGTACATGACACAAATTCTTATAGTGGTTAACATTTGTATGAAGTTTCATTAGAATCCCTCCATATGTGTAGGAGATATGCTAGACACAATCTCTATATTTTATCATCTTTAGTGACCTTGACTATCATCTTTAGTGATCTTGACCTTGCATATATTAACCTAAATTACATTTTTCACACCAGAAGTCATGATAATGACCATTTGTGCTTCGATCCCTCAATAAATAATGACTAAATGGTCTGAATATACATTTTCATATTTTTATCTGAACTTTGACCCCTATGTGTGACCTTGACCGCAGGGACCTAAATATTGCGTGTGACACTCCACCTCACCATGGTAAACATTTGTGTTAAGTTATATTGAAATTCCTCCATGCATGTTGTATTTTTGCTCCGGACAAGGGTTTGTCAATGACCTTGACCTTTGACCTAGAGACTGGCTCATGTGCGCCACACAACTTCTCATAGTGGTGAACATTTCCATGAAGTTTCATTAAAATTCCTTCATGCATGTAGAAGATATGCTCCAGACAAAATTGAATGCTGCCTGCCCGCCTGCAAAGGAACTATATAATAGGACTCGTTTTTTAAATGGGCATATAAAAAGGGCCATTGAGACCTGATCAGTCGATAAAATTTGGATCAACAATGGATTCGTTTATAACTACTAGCCTCAATTGAGTTTAATGTTGATGGTAATCGTTAATGATACAGAAACACGTGGAAGAATTAAAATCTGAAAGGCGGCTTAAAACAATTCTACATTACCGAGCGCAAACCCAAACTAAAAATGAACAAAAGCCACCGCCCTCAACTTATTTTAATTTCTTTAGTCAAACAAGTCAGAGGAAGAATATTACAATAAAAAGTAATCATAGAAAGTAAAAGATCAAATTCAAATTTCATATTCAAACATGATGGTCAAGGACATTGAAAGGTCAAGGTTTTACTCAAATTGATTATGATATCAGTTTTGTCATAAGTTCTCTTTTGTCATGCAATGAATCAAATCCATAAATAGAAAAAAAGTTTTGACTATATCAGCAAATTTCAATATCTATCTCACCAGTCTTTCCACTGTACCTGGAACATTCTACTTCAGCAGACCTATCCAACTTTCTTGGATAACTTACTAACCTGTCATTACCAATTTTTCCATAAGTGACCAACTACTACTAATCATACCAGTGGTGAGAGACAAGTAACTTTTAGTTCTATGTCTGAGAACAATTGTCATGAAGAAATTATGCTCAAGGATCCTGATAAAAAATCCTATCGAGCCAACAGACAAAAAAATATACGCAGAGGTAAGAACCACAATTCATTTCCACCAGCTCTTTTACTACATGTAAATAGTACAACTGTTTTCGTCACATTGAACTGGAGTCTTGTATTTCAATTGTAAGAATAGTGACACACTGAACAGGGGAAAAATTGTGACTTAAAGGGTGTAACTTGAATGATACTGAATGTCAGATATCAAAGCCCTAAATTATGCGGTTCTTAACAATTTTAGAGATTTCTTTATAAAGGACAAGGAGCTTCTCTGCCTTTTAGCCCTATGGCATAATGGAATATTTTATAAGGAAGCAATAGCTATCAGTAGGATATTCTCAGTGATTGATATTGAAACAAGAGCCTGGATGATGTAGAATTTTTTAAGTTCAAAAAGGACCATGATTCTGTCAAAATCCATATTAGAGTTTTTTGCCTTGATCAGTATCCTCCTAAGCTAAATTGGACAAATAAACATGCATAACTTATGCACTACATGCTGCAATTAAGCCACGTATATTTTTATGATTTGGTACAACAAGCCATGTACAGTAAGCAATCCCAATAACTCACCCTGAGATAAAACTGAATGGCACACTGTAGCTCAACAGACACATGTCTATCACAATAAAATTGTACCCAAAACAACCACTACAATGTTGTAGATTTCTATAGTTAATGTTGTAATTTGTTTGCTGCAAACTTGATGGGTCAAAAAGATTTCATAGCCAGATTATAAAACAATAAGACACATTTCTTTCAAAAATTTGAATGAGCTTTATTTCGAGTCAGAGCATTTGGAGTACAAGAATATAAATAACCATAAAGAAAAATCTTCCTTTCATTCTAACAAAAATCTCTCGCACATGATCCCTGAATTGTACATGTATTATAATATTAACCCCTTCCCACAATTCCCTACCGCCCAGAAATCACAGTAAGCCAATCCTAAGGCAATCAACAGGTTCTCTCCCCTTGATTTATCAAAATTTAATGTTAATGAAATGATTTACAAGTGTTACAGCTTTTTTTTTAAAATAAAAGATACCTTAATTTAATTTAACAAGATAAAAAATTTACTTGAGTTTTGGACTAGATTGTCTCCCTTTTTAATAAAAAATATAATTAATACATTTTTTGTTATGTGATTATATAACATCAAACAATAATTTTTCTTCAATTTTTGGTTTAACAATGTACATGTTTATAAAATTGTATCATGCTTAAGTTTAAAACAACTATGAAAAGCATCATTCAATTTGGTAATCAATTAAATTTTTTGAAATTCTCGAATAAAAAAAATATTTTGCAGGAAAAAAAATCCCTTTCGTAATTTAACCTGTTCAAAGAGAATGTTAAGATGTAAAAGGGATGTTTCATTCTATTAAAGGAAAGAACCAACTTTTTTATATATATCTAGCACAATAAACAGCACTTCAATGTAATACAAAATATATTTGATTCACAAGAAACAAAACAGCCACTGCTTTTAATAATGATGATGAAGAAAATTGTATTCATTCAATATATATATACAAAATTTGTGCAATAACACAATTATACATTGGAACGTCTATTGAAATATCACTGGTTGTTGCATAAGTCATTCAAATGAGTTCTTGTTCTTCAATAAGTAAGCTGCCAGGAATTCTATTGCATTGGGTGGTCTGAAAAAAAAATGTATTTGTTAGATTAATGCTTTGTTAGAAAGAATACACATATAAAGGTATCTGGTCTAACAACAAATAATCTGGTCTTGCAAAATATTATCTGGTCTCGCAACATATTATCCAGTACTGTAAAATATGATCTGGTTTTGCAACATATTATTCAGTATTGCAAAATATTATCTAAACATATTATCCAGCCTTGCTACATTTTATCTGGTCTTGTAACATATTACAGTAAACTTCACTTATAGCGAACAAGGTTACAGCGAACTTCCAGTTATAAGGAACAATTATTTTTGGCCCGAAGTTTGCCCTTCTTTATTCAATATAAAAATATACGGTAATAGCGAACACTGTTACAAGGTATTATCGCTTATGAGGAACTCATTTCTTAGTCCCACTTTAGTTAAAAGTATAGAAAATTACACTTTTATAACGAACTCCAAAATATTGACTGTCCGTAAATAGATCCCGCATTTTCAACTTTTGTTTTCATTGGCACGCATTAAAACTCTGCCAAATGTACTATTATGTATACTTATTATTTGTTTTGGGTTTTACGTCACATTCATTGACACAGTATAGGTCATATCGCAACGTTCCAGCAAAGTGGAGGAAGACCTCTGGTGCCCTTCTGAGCATTATTTCAGGCACGAACGGGCACCTGAGTAGAACCACCGACGTTCCGTAAGCTAGCTGGATAGCTTCCTCACATGAAAGAATTCAAAGTCCCTGTCGGGATTCGAACCCACAGCGGTGAGGGGCAAGTGGTTAAAAGTCAACGACCTTAACCACTCGGCCACGGATGCCCCATGTTGTATCTGTGAAAATGAATTTGTATAGCAGTACGTAATAGTTTTCTATTTAGGATATTTTTAGCATGAGTTCTTGTCACAAAGATAAAGTCGTTATCCCTTTTATTCAATTATTTCTTTTTTTTTTAATAGTTTTGCTCAAGTAAAATAAATATGATCATTTATAGTCGGTTTTCAACATAATCACGCATGCTATTCCTTGCTAATCCATTGAAAAGTACAAAGTACGCTTGACTGAAATGAAAAGAAATCTATGTCTTTCATAAGTAAAAGTCACCTTAAAATATAATAGAAGATATTCAATATAAAAAGAAGGAAAAATCGAAAATCTTGCTTATTCTTTATCATGGAAAGAAAAAGAAAAGTACTTAGATTGGAACAAAAAATGAATTTTTATGAAAAATTGAGAAAGGGTGAAATAGCAAAGGATTTTAAAATTCCACAAAGTATGCTCTCGGGTATTGTGTCTAAAATGGTGGAGGATGGTAAACAATCAGTTTGGTATGTGTAAATCTGTTCGCTATAATAACTCCTGATATGAGGAACTAATATGCTATATGCTTACAAGGAACTCCGGATATAAGGAACAGATTTTGAATGTCCCAGTGAGTTTGTTATAAGCACAGTTTACTGTATCTGGTCTTGCAACATATTATCTGGTCTTGCAACATATTATTTGGTCTTGTAACATTTTATCTTGTCTTGCAACATATTATCCGGTCTTGCAACATATTATTTGGTCTTGTAACATTTTATCTTGTCTTGCAACATATTATCCGGTCTTGCAACATATTATTTGGTCTTGTAACATTTTATCTTGTCTTGCAACATATTATCTGGTCTTGCAACATATTATTTGGTCTTGTAACATTTTATCTTGTCTTGCAACATATTATCTGGTCTTGCAACATATTATCTGGTCTTGCACCATACAGATATAAGTGCAATTTTTGTTTTGTACTATGTGTTCTTTAATGTGTGAGATTTATGTAGGGCAGACGATCATCAAAGAGCTGCAGATGCTTATTGCAAACTTGTGTCAAGAACAAAAGCTATATAGGTAAGTGGCAGACAGTCCCATAAAGACAAGATATTGCTAAGTTATATATACAATGTAAATCCCTCTGTTTTACAGCAGTACAAGAAATAGCATCATTTTGATCATATGATAGCTGTAATAGAGCTATTTGCCTGATACAGTTTATAACAATCTTACACTGGCTTCAGACCGGAATATCTAGCTTGAGGGTAACTGTATAGTGTTTACAGCAGTAACGAGGCTCTGCGGAGTTTCTGCTAAACAGTTACCCGAAAGCTAGATATTCCTATCTGTACCAATAGCCGGTTTTTGATTCTTTTTCTTGCATATTAATTATTTTCACAACAGAAATTATGGCATTTCTTTTTACCTTACTTATATGATAAATCCTTGTGTCCATATTTAGAGAATATTAAATGAGTGTAGATTTAATACTAAATTCATTGAAAGTTTTAAAGAAAATCATATTATGCTAGCCACTAGCGAGCATAACTTTGTTATATTTAACGAGTTTAATAAATTTATTACTGAACCTACACAAACATAATATTCTATTTATGACATACTTCATTTTTCCTAGAGTGTAACACTAATATTTAACTCTAATTTTGCATATAAAGGCAAATGAAGTCACATCGAAGTGTTATCACACTCGTGTTAGATGGTTTCTAAAAAAATTTAATTTAAAAATTCATATTCATTATTGTTCTTAACAAGACAATGAAAACAAGTTTTTACAACTAACAATACATCAATAAGAAAACTAATCATACCTTTCTTTAGCTAAAACAGACATTCCCTGTAAAAGTATTGGAACAACAGTTTGGTCTAGGTAGGCCCGAGTGGGCAGAGACTGTAGGTCCACCTTGGGTCTCTTTGCAGGCAAGCCCTCGGCCTCTTTCTCAGCATTGATTATTTTCTGTTAAAAAAAAAAAGAAATTTATAATATTAGTTTTAATAAGAGACAAATACATGGCAGAGTAGGGTTGGAAGGTGATAATTGGCCCGCAAAATCATTTCAGGGCCGATTATCACCTTCTGGTCCGTCTATGACATGTATTAATGTCTTAAATACACTTGATAGATCTAACAAAAGCAGTTTTTTAAATTTGACTTTGATATTTCTTTCATTGAAATTCCTATCTCCTATCTCTGTACAGATTTCATTTGTATGGTACAGTACCTTATACAGAGTTGAGTCCGACAGAATGTAGAAACACAATTTATTTTCTAGAAATGAAATTTTGGTTAGTATGTTATTTCTTTAAATTTTAAGACGGCTGTGTTTGTAGAAATTACATTTATGTTCTAATTATTGGTTTAAACATATTTATTTAAGCTTGATTGCGAAACAAGTTCTTGCAACTTATATTAATCACTTTCGAGTCCGCTTCCTGGAACCAACCAGTACTGGTGTCATATGAAGAAACATGGTCGTGACCCGAGTAGGGCTCGAACCCATGATCCCCCGGTTGAGAGGCAGACACCTTAACCACTAGGCTACCGCTCCCCCTTCTAATGAAGCTATGCATGCTTCTATTCTACTTTTACAGGTACATAAAATGTGACGTC